GGTCTTCAGAATATCATTGGAAACTCAAGAAGAGAAACTGCAGACAGTCCTCAAGTTATCGCCATCCGTTTGGTGACGGTTTGAAGTTACGACGGCCTTGAGAGAAGTAACTTACGACCGTTTTTTTTACACCTATGACCGTTGTAACCTCCCCTGTCACGTGATCAAAATTCAGACCCTTGGCAACTGACATGTACTTACGACTGTTGCAGCGTCCCAGGGTTACGTGATCCCCTTTTGTGATCTTTCTGACAAGCAAAGTCAAAAGGGGAAGCCAGATTCACTTCACAACCGTGTGGCTAACTTTTAACAACTGCAGGGATTCACGTCACAACCCGTGCAAGGATGGTGTCAAACGGGGCAAAACTCACCCGTCTCATTTAACAACAGAAATGTTTTGCTCGGTTGTGGTCGTAAGTCGAGAACTACCTGGCAGCTTTTTGTGTGTGTGTCTTTTGCACCAAGTAGCAAGAATAGTGGCGTTTTTATTAGCCCTAGTCCCTGGGAATTCTTGGGCTCAAAGGTTTTCTGGAGAACAGCTGGAAGAAAAGAAGGCTGGTGATTAACAACATAACATGCAATTGAGACTTTTCCAATGACCATTTTTGGATTGGTTTTTTCCCCTGTTTCTTGAGCTTCACATAGAACATCGCTTCCCCTGCCTGTTCCCCCTGAGACACCCGTCTCAATGGAATAGTAAACTTCCTCTTGAGATCCTCTAGAGAGAAAACATAGTTGCACCTAGTATTTTCTTTTCCTAGACAAATAAGTAGAAGAGGTTGAAAAACAGAGTTATATCCAGTGACGGGATTCAGCTGGTTCGCACCACTTCGGCAGAACCGGTAGCTAATTGTTTGTGGCCCAGGCCCAGAATGGACTTCTGGAAGTGGCATCCATACAGAGAACCGGTTGTTCACCTATTTGAATCCCACCACTGGTTATATTCCACCTTTGTGCAAAGGGGGGGACACAACTTAGAGAGAGGAGGAACCGTCCTTCATATTCACGTCAACTCTCTGAAGCCCTAAGACAGGGGTCTTCAAACTTGGCCCTTTTATGACTGGTGGACTTCAACTCCCAGAATTCCTCAGCCAGCGTGCCTGGCTGAGGAATTCTGGGAGTCGAAATCCACCAGTCATAAAAGGGCCAAGTTTGAAGACCCCTGGTCTGGATCCAAGCCCGCAGTTTCATCAAAATGGTCGACTGAGGAATTCTGGGAGTTGAAGTCCACCAGTCATAAAAGGGCCAAGTTTGAAGACCCCTGGTCTGGATCCAAGCCCGCAGTTTCATCAAAATGGCCAACTGAGGAATTCTGGGAGTCGAAGTCCACAAGTCACAAAAGGGCCAAGTTTGAAGACCCCTGCCATAGGAGAAAGGCGTTGAGGAGATGAACATATTGATGGATCGGATCATAAAAAGAAGGCACACTTTGGCTATAACAGAAAAACATACTTTTATATATATATATATAAAAAACCACTTTCTTCTATTTTATGAGGGCGGCTGGCAACATAATATGTGACGACATGAGTGTCTTTTGTGCAATCGCTAAATCTTACAGGAGACGTTGACATGTTCACACCATACTTTATGCTGCCATAATTCGCTTTTCTGGAGATTCCAGCTACTCTTTAAATTTTATTTTATGAGGAGGGGAAAAGAAGTGGCTGAAATGGAAAAGTTCTCCAGCTCCCAACCATCAGGCACAGGCCCAGATGGTTGACCCAGAGGTGAAGGCTGTGGGAAGGGAACATTTTCAAGAGACTCTGATTTAATTAGTCTGCCTGGGAACTCTGATAGATTTCAAGATTATGATTTTGCCCCTGACTGGCCTTAAAGATGCTTTCCTGAAATCCACTTTGTTCTTGCTCGCTCTGCGTGACGTTTGTGTGGGGCTGGAGAGCGTTGCCCAACTCCAAAGAAACAGACGAGTCTTTTGAATGCCACCTCAGATCAACAACAGTCTCGATAAGAGAAAACAAGCTGAAAAACAAACAGGCTGGAGCTATTAATGCAGGGATTCCACTTCTCCTGAAAGTTTTGGTCTGGGAGAGCTACTTGATCCTTTGCTGTCCTTAAATTCTCAGGTAGCCCTCTGGCTGGAAGTCCCAAAGCTGCTTTTTTAAAAATTTTTCACAAGGCAACTGGACTTTCTTGTTTTTCTTTGAAGACATTTCGCTTCTCATCCCAGAAGTTTCTTCAGCGCTGGCCGGATGGTGGGGAGATGGAAGGATTTATACTCCTTGCAGACAGCTGGTCATTTGCCTTCTTTTAGAGAGCCGTTGAGGTCACTTGGAGGCTTGTCTGTGTCCTCAGGGTCACCCAAGTGGTGCAAATGGGAGTGGAGCCTACTTGGAACTGCTGAAAGGACAGTATTGTAGACCGGAGATAGACAATGTTGGATCCCTCCCCCTCTGTTGAGAGGTGTGCTGTTCAGTTTTGGCCTAGATGGCCTCTTGGACCCCTCTTTCAAGCCAGCGGTCCTCTCTGTCCAAAATGTGGACTTTGCTGTCTTGGAAAGAACTGCCTTTGTCTTCCAAATGCAGATGGACATCTGAATCTTGTCCTGATGGGTTTGTTCTCCTTTGTCACGGGTAGGCAACCTTGGCTCTTTTATGACTCGTGGACTTCAACTCCCAGAATTCCTGAGCCAGCTTAAAGTTAAAGTTAAACACCAAACTTAAAGTTCAAGGCCCTTTGCTAACCATCTGTTATCGTAATTTTCTCTAAGTAATTTTCTCCTAGTTTCTTATCTACCACAGATCACCCCAGTCCTTTTATCCACCTTCCATTTCAAGCACATTTTACTTTCCACAAAACCCACACATCGGGGAGTAAGTACACGTGGATCTGTTTCACAAACACGCACCATGAGTAACCAGGTTTTTGGCAGCTGGCGCTTTTTTTGCACCTTAAAAAAAAATAGTAATTGTTGTGTATTGACCCAATTTGTTGCTTTTGCTTTAACCTTCGGTCTGATCAATGCCTCCTGGAACTCAGTATTTAACAGTATTAATAATAATACCCTCTGGCCTATTATGATCTTGCTGTAACAAACAAAAAAAAATGTGGATTTTGGTTTTTTTACAGCCGAATGAAACGATCCAAGATGGGTGTGACAATCATTTTTGCAAGGTGAACCAAAAAGGAGATTTTATTTGGGAAAGGAAAATTACCGGCTGCCCTCCATTTGATTCTAAGAAATGCTTAGCTGAAGGGGTAAGTATTGAATGGAATCCACCTCTTCTTTGGCATTTTTTTTTTAAATGGTGTTAGTTGTAGTGACGTGTGTTCAATTTGTGCTTTACGGAGCATCCTAAATGAAGATTTGATCCAGTGCTGAGTAAACATAATCCTCGTTGCTGTCAATACATCAGACACAGTAGTGGCCAAAATGGTGGAAATCTTTTGGGAAAAGTGTACAGTAGAAATGCCACCTTTGGTTAAGTTTCCACCACTTTTTCTTCTAATTTCTTTATAACTGTAGCCTTGTTTACTTAATAAGACTATTTTACATCGCTTTCTGGGCAACCAGTCAACTCTTTGCACCATGACTTTAATTTTATTACGTTGTGCAAGCTCACTAAATGAAAGAACACAAAAAAACCCAACCCACTTGATAACCATCACATAACACACTGACCAATGTCCTCCTCTCAGCTTCAATACATGACATCAATCACTGGATCCTACTGTGATCCGATTGGCTCATGGCCAAAACAAGAGGACACCAGATTGGCTCTCTAAACACTCATGCTCATTGGCTAGCTGAAGGAAAGCTACCTGAGATCAACCTGAACAAGTTGTGCTTCCTTTTTCTGGTTATTTGGCTATAACTTTTCATGGAATACAGTACAGATAATTGAACAAACTATGTTGCATTGCATTCCTGATTAAATTATCTTTACATTGATATATAATCTTATGGTACTACTCCCACAAAAAAAAGTGGTGTTATTAGCCATCAAACCTCAAAAATACACTTTTCCCAAAAGGGTTCCACAGTTTTGTCCACTACTGTATACACTTTGTTCATCAAATCTTTCTGGTACTATACCTAATAAGAAAAGCTCAGGTTTAAAATCTATTCCTGCTAAAATATCTTTCAGCATGATCAGGATTGTTTTTATAGGCCTATGCAAAAAGTGCAAAAAAAATAATAATAATTCTCTTGGTCAAGCCTCAGATCCTGGACTAGAAATGTTAGAAAGGATTAAACATCATTGGCTAAAATCTACATTAAGAGAGCTTTAGTCAGGGACACACGTGTATATTTTGTCTTCAATGAGGTGTTGCTGTCTTCCTCTCCAGGGTAAAGTTACAAAACTTGGCAGTACGTGCTGCGAAACATGTGAGTACCCAAAGCTGCTTAATCTCGTACGAAATGGCAAGATATTTCTGAATGTGTACGCGGCTTCAATTGTGAAAAGAAAAGTGTGAGAATAATGTTACTGGGTCATGCCTGAGGTTGCTAGCCACGAGGATGCCAGAAGGACTAAATATCTGTTGTAATGGCACAACGCATCACCTGTTTAAATATATGAAATATGTATTTAAGGGAAGGGATTGGCATCGTGATGCATCCTTTGCCACTTGTTTTCCCTTTAGGTGTCTATGCCAGGGACTCAGGTGGGTACACATTTGTCAGAGGTGTTGTTATGGGCAGCTATGCTGTCGACATCATGACAACAGTATTATTCTGTGAGATCAGAAGTCTTCAAACTTGGCCCTTTTATGACTTGTGGACTCCCAGAATTCCTCAGCCAGGGGCCATAGTTCCCCCATGCTGGCTGAGGAATTCTGGGAGTTGAAGTCTGCAAGTCATAAAAGGGCCAAGTTTGAAGACCCCTGAATTACTTCATTGCTTGCAAGAAGCTTAAAGACTGATCTCTTTAACATCGGTGTCCAGATACCATTCTAGAAGCCGTTGTCAGCAACAATGATCTGTAGGTGGGTTTTTTTTCTCTCTTTTTCTCTTGCACTTTCCTTAAATCCTCTGAGGAAGAAAATTGTGAATAGAAAAAGCCAGGAGCGTTTTCTTGGCAGCTTTTGACTCCCCAAAACGGTTGGAATAAATGGTCCCTAATTGCCAATATTTTCTGAAAGGCCCGCAGTTTGATTTCAAAAGAGCATCATCCACCGTATCTCCTTAGTCACAGCAGACACCACCAACAATATAGTTCTTTATTCCTTGGTTTCTTTTACAGCCCTGTTCAGCGCACACCGTCGTCAGGTTTCTGAGCAGGACTGGGCCATTTTAACATATATTTCAACTCCTGACTTTTGCTCGTTTCTGTTCTGGGCGAACAAATTGTTTTATTTCATTCCCGTGCTGCAGTCTTGAGAGTTTTCCCACCTGGTCTCCATTATATCTCCACTTATCAGTAATTCAGGGGCTATTTCCCTGTTCTGAGTTTTAGTGTACCCAAGAGAGCTTTGAACTTTATGTCCAGTATTTGATTTTAATTTTTCATTGAAAATACTTATTTCAACAATTGCTTCCACTTTCGGCAGTTCAAAACATACGTTGGTTTCATCTGAGGTCCTTCCAGTCTTGCAGGCGATAGAATAGAATAGAATAGAATAGAATAGAATAGAATAGAATAGAATAGAATAGAATGGAATGGAATGGAATGGAATAGAATAGAATAGAATAGAATAGAATAGAATAGAATAGAATAGAATGGAATGGAATGGAATGGAATGGAATGGAATGGAATGGAATAGAATAGAATAATAAGAATGGAATAGAATAGAATAGAATAGAATAGAATGGAATGGAATGGAATGGAATGGAATGGAATAGAATGGAATAGAATAGGATAATAAGAATGGAATGGAATAGAATAGAATAGAATAGAATAGAATAGAATAGAATAGAATAGAATAGAATAGAATAGAATAGGATAATAAGAATAGAATAGAATAGAATAGAATAGAATAGAATAGAATAGAATAGAATAGAATGGAATGGAATGGAATGGAATGGAATGGAATGGAATGGAATGGAATGGAATGGAATGGAATAGAATAGAATAGAATGGAATGGGAAAGAAGAATAGGAAAGAAGAATAGGAAAGAAGAATAGGAAAGAATAGGAAAGATTAAGAATAGAATAGAATAGAATAGAATAGAATAGAATAGAATAGAATAATAACTTTATTGTCACTTTGAATGTACACTAATTGGCATACTGTACATTAAAATGAAAATAGCGTCCTTTGTGTATAAGCAATTTTCTAAAAGTTTAAAGGTGATGCATTAGTCGAAGCAACAGCTAAAGCCAACTTTGTCATCATCGTAACCCTTAAAGGAGTAGTAACATTATTAAAATACGGTAAGCTAATTATTGCTGGCTGATCACGGCTGCCCTGTTAATTTTGCAGGCAGTAGCTCATGGCTAGCCAGAAGTGCAGTTCTCTGCTTCCTTTGTCTAAGTAGTCGAAACGTTCACAACTCTTGCATTTCAGGTGTGGAGCCAGAGTGCAAGCTAGCCACAGGCAGGCTGGAATTTGTGAAAGTGGACGACTGTGTGAATGAAAACCAGCTGAACCTCCATTACTGCGAGGTAAGGCCTGCTGATCTGGAGCCTATGAAAGCAAAGGGGATTGTTTTTGTTTCTGTTTTTCTTTGCAAAGAGCTTGGGTCTAACTGCACAGGTAGTTCTTGACCTATGACCACAACTGAGCCCAAAATTTATGTCGCTAAGTGACATTAAATTGGTGCTAGATAAGGGTTAACAACATTCAAGAGCGGTTGAACGTAAAAAAAAAAAGAGGGGTTGAACGTTCTCGTGTGAGAACATAATGACTCTAGGCTGATTCCTCTCTTGACTCCGCCGCCCGTCCCTGACCGCCCTTCTCCTACAAGTCTGTTGTAGTTTCAAATAGTTGCTGAGCGACCGATCGTAAGTCCAGGGCGACCTGTGTAGAAAAACCTTCCCCCAAGTAGCAACATTTTACACCAGGGGTAGGCAACCTTGGCTCTTTTATGACTCGTGGACTTCAACTCCCAGAATTCCTGAGCCAGCATGGCTCAGCTTGGAAACCTCTCCCTTTCCCCTCAGCATGGCTGGCTCAGGAATTCTGGGAGTTGAAGTCCACCAGTCATAAAAGAGCCAAGGTGGCCTACCCCTGCCCTATATCAGGGGTCCTCAATCTTGGCAACTTCATGACTCGTGGACTTCAATTCCCAGAATTCCTGGGCCAGCATGGCTCAGCTTGGAAACCTCTCCCTTTCCCCTCAGCGTGGCTGGCTCAGGAATTCTGGGAGTTGAAGTCCACGAGTCATAAAAGAGCCAAGGTTGACTACCCCTGTTTTACACTGTGAGCTCAGTTCTGCCGTCATATTCCTTCCACCAGATAGGCACGGTCTATCTACCTCTCCATTTTCACATCCTTCCAGCCGTTGTCGTGGTGAAATCAGGATTTTAAGTTCCAACTCTGTGGGGGTTTGTTTTTTTCCCCCTTGCAGGGCAAGTGTCCAAGCCAAGCCATTTACAACATAACCCTGAACCGTATTGAAGACCTCTGCAGCTGCTGCTCAGCCACCGCAGCCGACACCATGCGCGTCCCCTTGCGTTGTGCCAACGGCTCTCTAGTTCATCACCAAGTTTTTAACGCCAGAGAGTGCAACTGCCTCTCTCGGAAATGCCAACCCTAATCCCCAAACGGGGAGGGGAGGCATGCCCAGCTTTTTCTCCAGACGCTGGAGTGTGTACAACCTGATTGTGGTTTGCTTTGGGCATTGGGAGAGGTTTTGATACTAGTTTAATCAAAGCCAGGTAAACAGCCAAGGAAGAAACTGCACATTAGGGAAGTTTTACTTTGGACCGTTTCAGGGGTGCCGTATTTTGAAAAAGCCCCAAGAAGTCAAATCATTGCCGAGGGTGGCTATTCAAGAAGAGACCGGACTGCCCTGTGTCAGCAATGGTGTAGGGTCTCCTGCTTGGGCAGGGGGTTGGAGTAGATGACCTCCAAGATCCCTTCCAGCTCTGTTCCGTTCTGCTCTGTTCCATCAAAGGACTTCTATCCACGCGATGAACTGAGAGAAGAGTTTCGGCATATAGTTATTTTCGTTTCAATTACTTTTATGATGAAGGGCTAACTCTAGCTCACCTTTCAAAATCAGAGTTGTTTGGCTTTTGTTACCAGCTTGAATAAAACATTTGACTAAAAGCTGAGTGTCCTGGTTCCGACAGATGAAACTCTTCAAAGAACTTCGAGGCATTGTTTATTTTTTATTTATTTATTTATTTATTTATTTTATTTAATTTATATGCCGCCCTTCTCCCAGCGGGACTCAGGGCGGCGCACAACATATTTAAAACAAAAGCATATATACAATCCCCCCCTGTAAAACCGAATTAAACCGAATTTTAGAGTTGTGTCTTCCAAATTCCTTAAAATGAACCCAGTATAAAATCCTCCCTAGGTCAGGTCCGCTTGCTGAAAGAGCCATGTCTTGAGGGCGCGACGGAAGGTAAGGAGATCCGGAATTATCCGAATCTCGGGGGGTAGTTCATTCCAGAGGGTAGGGGCACCCACAGAGAAGG